GAGAACCTATATTCAAATAAATTTGAAAATCTTAAAGAAATGGACAGATTTCTAGATACATATGATCATCCAAAACTGAACCAAGAGGAAATTAATCACCTGAATAGATCTATAACACAAAATGAAATTGAAGCAGCAATCAAGAGTCTCCCCAAAAAGAAAAGTCCAGGACCTGATGGATTCTCTGCTGAATTCTATCAGACCTTTAAAGAAGAACTGATACCAACCCTCCTTAAACTGTTCCATGAAATAGAAAGGGAAGGAAAACTGCCAAACACATTTTATGAAGCCAGTATTACACTTATCCCAAAACCAGGCAAAGACACCTCCAAAAAGGAGAACTATAGGCCAATCTCCTTAATGAACATTGATGCAAAAATCCTCAACAAAATAATGGCAAACCGAATTCAACAACACATCAAAAAGATTATTCACCACACCAAGTAGGCTTCATCCCAGGGATGCAGGGGTGGTTCAACATACGAAAATCAATAAATGTAATAAACCACATTAACAGAAGCAAAGACAAAAACCACTTGATCATCTCAATAGATGCAGAAAAAGCCTTTGATAAGATCCAACACATTTCATGATAAAAGCTCTAAGAAAACTAGGAATAGAAGGAAAGTACCTCAACATTATAAAAGCTATATATGACAAACCTACAGCCAGCATTATACTTAATGGAGAAAAACTGAAACCATTCCCTCTAAAATCAGGAACCAGACAAGGATGCCCACTATCTCCACTCCTATTCAACATAGTACTGGAATTCCTAGCCAGAGCAATTAGGCAAGAAGAAGGAATAAAAGGAATACAAATAGGTAAAGAAACTGTCAAAATATCCCTATTTGCAGACGACATGATCCTATACCTTAAAGACCCAAAAAACTCTACTCAGAAGCTTCTAGACATCATCAATAGCTATAGCAAGGTAGCAGGATATAAAATCAACATAGAAAAATCATTAGCATTTCTATACACTAACAATGAGCAAACTGAAAAAGAATGTATGAAAACAATTCCATTTACAATAGCCTCAAAAAAATCAAATACCTAGGTGTAAACCTAACAAAAGATGTGAAAGACCTCTACAAGGAAAACTATAACTTCTGAAGAAAGAGATTGAGGAAGACTATAGAAAGTGGAGAGATCTCCCATGCTCATGGATTGGTAGAATCAACATAGTAAAAATGTCGATACTCCCAAAAGTAATCTACATGTTTAATGCAATTCCCATCAAAATTCCAATGACATTCATTAAAGAGATTGAAAAATCTACTGAAATTTATATGGAAACACAAGAGGCCACGAATAGCCAAGGCAATACTCAGTCAAAAGAACAATGCAGGAGGTATCACAATACCTGACTTCAAACTATATTACAAAGCAATAACAATAAAAACAGCATGGTACTGGCACAAAAACAGACATGAAGACCAGTGGAACAGAATAGAGGACCCAGATATGAAGCCACACAACTATAACCAACTTGTCTTTGACAAAGGAGCTAAAAATATACGATGGAGAAATAGCAGCCTCTTCAACAAAAACTGCTGGGAAAACTGGTTAGCAGTCTGCAAAAAACTGAAACTAGATCCATGTATATCACCCTATACCAAGATTAACTCAAAATGGATCAAGGATCTTAATATCAGACCCAAACTCTAAAGTTGATACAGGAAAGAGTAGGAAATACTCTGGAGTTAGTAGGTATAGGTAAGAACTTTCTCAATGAAACCCCAGCAGCACAGCAACTAAGAGATAGCATAGATAAATGGGACCTCATAAAACTAAAAAGCTTCTGTTCATCAAAAGAAATGGTCTCTAAACTGAAGAGAACACCCACAGAGTGGGAGAAAATATTTGCCAGCTATACATCAGACAAAGGACTGATAACCAGAATATATAGGGAACTTAAAAAACTAAATTCTCCCAAAACTAATGAACCAATAAAGAAATGGGCAAGTGAACTAAACAGAACTTTCTCAAAAGAAGAAATTCAAATGGCCAGAAAACACATGAAAAAATGCTCACCATCTCTAGCAATAAAGGAAATGCAAATTAAAACCACACTAAGATTCCACCTCACCCCTGTTAGAATAGCCATCATCAGCAACACCACCAACAACAGGTGTTGGCGAGGATGCGGGGAAAAGGAACCCTCTTACACTGTTGGTGGGAATGTAACTAGTACAGTACAACCACTCTGGAAAAAAATTTGGAGGCTACTTAAAAAGCTAGACATTGATCTACCATTTGATCCAGCAATACCACTCTTGGGGATATACCCAAAAGACTGTTACTCCAGAGGCACCTGCACACCATGTTTATTGCGGCACTATTCACAATAGCCAAGTTATGGAAACAGCCAAGATGCCCCACACTGACGAATGGATTAAGAAAATGTGGTATCTATACACAATGGAATTTTATGCAGCCATGAAGAAGAACGAAATGTTATCATTCGCTGGTAAATGGATGGAATTGGAGAACATCATTCTGAGTGAGGTTAGCCTGGCCCAAAAGACCAAAAATCGTATGTTCTCCCTCATATGTGGACATTAGATCAAGGGCAAACACAACAAGGGATTGGACTATGAGCACATGATAAAAGCGAGAGCACACAAGGGAGGGGTGAGGATAGGTAAGACACCTAAAAAACTAGCTAGCATTTGTTGCCCTTAACACAGAGAAACTAAAGCAGATACCTTAAAGCAACTGAGGCCAATAGGAAAAGGGGACCAGGAACTAGAGAAAAGGTTAGATCAAAAAGAATTAACCTAGAAGGTAACACCGCACAGGAAATCAATGTGAGTCAACTGCCCTGTATAGCTATCCTTATCTCAACCAGCAAAAACCCTTGTTCCTTCCTATTATTGCTTATACTCTCTCTACAACAAAATTAGAAATAAGGGCAAAATAGTTTCTGCTGGGTATTGAGGGGGTAGGGGGGAGAGGGAGGGGGCGGACGGGTGGTAAGGGAGGGGGTGGGGGCAGGGGGGAGAAATGACCCAAGTTTTGTATGCACATATGAATAATAAAAAAAAACATAAAATGAAATTTATCATGCTCTGAACCCTTAAGTCCATTAAGAATTTTGTTACTGAATTTACAGATTTAATTATATGAATCCATGTGTTTTAATTTTACACAAATAAGATCATAAATACAAAGTGTTCTAAGATGTGATTTATTCCCTTTATCGATATATCTTAGAATTTTGCATATGTTGACAGCTACAGATTCAAATCAATTTTTCTAAGGATATCATATGACATGGTATGTGTTTAGTATGATTTATTTAATCATTCATTTTATTTATAACTTTTTTTCATTACTCCAAATAATCCTTACAACACATATTGAAGCAAACATTTTTGCAATGTGTAAGTAACTTTTAAATGATAGCTTCCGCTCCTCTCTCCTCTCTGCATCTCCTCTCAACGTATAAGCTATACCACTGTTCTTCAGATTACACACCTAATCTACGCTATTACTTTAAGGAAAGTCATTTCCAACTACCTAGGACAAATAAGATGGAGCATACAGACAACTTTTTTTTAAATGGAAAAAGGACCAATTTAAGTGTACACAATAAGAATGATTAAATGCTTTAATTTTAAAAAAGAAACTGGGGTGGGTTAAAAAGGTCATGTAATACTTGATGGAAGAGCTGAACATGAGGTTAAGTCTTAAAGAATGGGCATAACTTGCCTGTACAGAACACAGCGGGACTCTGCAGAATACAAACATAAGAAAGGACCACTCTTACAACTCTGCTCTTTATAACTAAATTTTGTCATTACAACGTCCCTTTTGAAAGTAACTCAGGCTGATATTTTTAAGACTAAAACAACCCTAATGACACACACACCAGATCAAACATTCTTTTTACTGAATTCAAGTGAGCCTTTAATTGCTATCAATTAGTAGAGGAAATAAAATTCCGTGATCAAAGGATTAGTTTAGTTTGAAATACAGTAACCTGCTTAAGGTGGTTTTAAACTATAATTTCAAAAATTATGTCTACTTCAAGATTTCAAAGATTCAAATATCATCACTAGAAAAAAGTTTTTCTTAACCTGAGTCACTATACTAATTTAATGTTTTTCCCGACATAAAGGAAACAAACAAATTAGATAAGTAAAAATTGATAAGTCCTTTAAATATACTGGGAATAAACCCGAAGTATATATATTTAAAAAATAATACAACTTTGGTTAACTGACTAGAAGGCCCGGATCACTGGGGAACAAAATCTAAACTGCTCCCTCTCAGTCTGCATTCTCTTCTTCCCCACACTCCCTCCACAACTGGAACTTTGTCCATTCTCCACCAAACCTGGTCCTTTCCTGCACTTTGTTCCTCAAACTTACTTCTCTGGTCTGTGGGCCTGCCTATTGCCTAGACTGGAATACCTTCTTCCGTGATCTCATGCTGCCTCCCACCAAATGCCAAGGGCCTCTCTAGTTTCCCTGACACAATGCTGATGATTCCCTCCCAGCCTCCACTGGCAACGTTTATGAGCCTACCCTCTTTTCTTAAGTTCTTCTTCAGAATGACCTCATCTTTTATTTATGGGCTCACTGCTCTCCAAAATGTTGGGTGTGTGTGAAAAGGAACCTTGTCTGTTGCTCAGTGTTCTCCCCAATGTCAGCAAATAGCAGGTAGCCAACACAATTTCAACGAGAACTAGTAAGTCAAACTAGTTTACTAGTTTAACTAGTAAGTTAAACTAATTCTCTGACAGGAATAGAAGAATTCAAGAATCACCATAAATTAGACATTCAGATTAACACACTGTCACAATGGGCTTCAGTGGAGTATTAAAACTCTGATTCAAGATTTACTTAAATAAATATTGGTTTTAAATATTTTAAATATATTGGTAATAAAAGCTCTTAGTAATATTTTCATTATGCAGAGATTCTGTGATATAAAGAGATGTTTAAAAGAGGAGTTATCTTGTGTGGATATGTAAATGGCGGAAGACCGACCTGCTGTTCATATCGCTGCTTGACGTCCTCAGTGCCATAAAACCTCCTCGACTGTTTCTCACGAAGAAGCTTGGATCTGGTGAGATCTGCTTCCACTTTTTCCATCTACTAAAATTAAACAGCAATTTTTAAATTTTTAAACAAAAACTACAGAAACATTATTTTTTAATTTGTCCCACTCATTGAAAATAACAGATTCTGAATACTTCCCCAGTCCCATGATGATTGAAATGTGATAAAATAAGAAACATATATCAATTTATTTTTAGTAACATTTTAATAATGTAAGGAAAATTTAAACTGATACATAGCTCCCTGCCTACCTTCTAATTATTACATAATGTAAGTGGAAATTAATAATGGGCAATTAAACCCAGTTTTAAGATGGGCAAGTATCTGAATAGGCATTTCTCAAAAGAAAATACACATGGCAAACAGAATATGAAAAGATGCCCAGTATCACTGCCGTCATTAGGCAACTGAAAATTAACACAAGAATGACATAACACTTCACACTCAGTAAGGAGGTTCTAATAAAAAGGACCGATAATGGCAAGTATTATTGCTGAAGATGAGGAGAAATCAGAACTTGGACATAGCTGCTAGGAATATAAAATGGTATAAGCATGCTGGAAGAGAGTCTGGCTCTTCCTCAAAGGTTTAAACATGGGTTATTATGTGACCTAAGAATTCCAGTCCTAGGTAAAAGCTGAAAACATACATCTACCAAAAAAACAAAACAAAGTGGTAAACACATGTCACAGTTACTGCTTCTTACCCTTTGGCTAAGATCAAGTGCAAATGTTTAGAGTACATATTCATAATAGCACAAAGAGAAAACCACCAAATGTTTATCAGTTGAAGAATACGTAAACAAAATATGGCATATCAAATGGAATTATACTCAACCATAGAAAGGAATGAAATACTAAAATATGCTACAGCACAGGTGAACCCAGGAAGCATTATGCTAAGCACCATAAAAGACCACATATGATTCCATTTATATTAATTTTCAGGATAGGCATATTGAAAGAAAAAGAAAGTAGATTAATGGTTATGGGAAACTGTGATGGGGGGCTGGAGACCAGGTGAATAACTGCTAAAGGGTATGGTTTCTTTTGGGAAAGATGAAAATATTCTAAAATTGACTGTGGTAATGGTTATCCATTTGGTGATACATTAAAAATCACTGAACTGTACTCTTATGAAGACACTGTTTGGAATATTAATTATACCTTACAGACATTGCTATTAAGACAAACAAATAGATCACCGTAAAAATCAAGCACTCTACACATCCTGAGGGCTTCCCATGATCAGTACCAGGTACCTCTCTCTAGCCTCCCACCACCACCATTCCAGCCCACCTGCTCCTCCCTGGCCAAGAACATGACAGAAGCTGTCACCTTAGGTCCTAGAAGCTGACCTCAGATGTTCACGTGGCTTCTCAACGTCTTAAGGTTTTGCTTAAATATCACCTTTGTACTGAGGTCTCTTAGACCACCACATTTTATACTTTAAGTTGTAGCCCCTCTTACCTTCTAGTCTACCTAGTCATTTCATGTTTTGCTGCTTGCTGTTTTATTCCATGGGGCATAACACTTTCAGGTTCACTGCATAACTCACTTCTTCACTAGGGAACTTTTTAAAGTCTGGTCTCCCCCACTGTAATGTAGCCCATGTTCACTGATCCTTCCTAGTCATTTCGCACAGAGTCTGGTACACATAGGGATTCAATAAATGATAATCAATGAAAAAAGACACGTATAAGTTGGCTGAAGATTACGTGCGTGACACTATAAGCTAATATTAGTGCAACATCTTTAATAGAATATACAAATGAATAAAACAATAGTGCCAAATCTTTATAGAATATACAAAATGAATAAAGCAGTGTTAGAAGTCACTTTTCCTATCACTTTGGTCCACATTCTTATTTTTCATATGTTACAGGAAGAATGTTCTTGCAAACAATAAGGAAAAAGCTCCCCAAGTCACCTTTGAGGAAGGTGGAAATGTCACCTTTTATTCAAAAGCAGTGCTTTGGGGATGATTTAAGAAAATTTTTTTTTGAGGTAACTGCAGTTTAATATGACAATCTATCACTGGCTACTTTATATTACTTATTATTGTGCTTCACTGATATGTTGAGCTGCTTTGTTTCTTTTTACAACAGGTACACAAGTACACACAGGTACACTTCTTTCAGGTTACCTTTTGATAAGATTAAGATGAAGTTAAAAACATGAATATTAGAGGAAATGAACCATGGAAAATGTTTCACAGGTTTTCAAGTTAGATATTTTAACATTCTAATGTATTTACTCAGACATGATTAGGTTCTAAGGACAAAGAATATTCAAGACAAGCAACCAGTTTCACTGATGAGAACAAAATGCCTCGTTATCATTTACTACTGCTCTAACAAGCATCAAATTTCAGATCTGGCTCATACACTGAAGTCTGGAGCATCCAGCTATCCAAGATATTTTATCTCCTAAGTATTCTCTATAAATAGCACCAAGACTGTAGCCCTGAATACTAAAAACAACAAACTTAGGAATTCAGTTCTATGATTACTGATGCATAGATAGTCAAATAGTAGTCAGAATAAATTTGAGGAAGTATAAAGATCAAGCTTATCTGTTTTTTTTTTGTTATTTTAATATCAGACTTGGTTTTCAAAGCTCTATCTCTATCAGAGCTTACCAGAACAGTTGAACTCAAGTAAGGAGACTCCTTGTCAGCAAACTATGCTCCAATTATCCTTGGCATTTTTCCAAGCAAACATGGCTGACCTCTCCTACTCTGTAGACTTCTGCTCTTCACAAAGGCTCCTTTGTTTTGTTTTGAGTTTGGGTATTTTTGTTTTCTTGTTTTATTCTCATCCAGTCAATCTTCAAGGTTATATGTGGATTTGTCATACCTGAGCAGGTAACACAGTAACTGTGCCCAGTCTAGGAACTCTACATAAGGCTTCCCAGGCCAGGAAGCAAGCCACATTGCTACATATCTGCAGAGCAGAGCATCTAATTCCACCTGAAGAAGTAGTCAAGCAGTGAACCTGCCCAATTCTGAGGCCAGCCAGAGAAGGCAAAACTCATTATTTCACTTACCTGTGGAGCACGACCTCTTGCTCAGTCTATCCTGGAAGGCTGAGAAGCAACCCTAGAGACCTTGCCCAGCCTCAGACTCCAACCTACAGCCCTGTCCAACTACGGATTTCAAACAGCAGTACTACTTTGCCAACAAATGCAGCTTACAGTCCTGCCTGATCAGAAGTGATTACAGAGCACAGCCAGCAATTGGCCCTGACCATGGAGCACAGCTAATGGTCTTCGGAGCATGGGCAGCAGCCCACCTAACCTCAGAGCATAGGCAGAGGCCCAGCCTAACCAATAGCAAGGTCTGCCTGGTCATAAACACTACTTGCTGGCCTATCCAGTATCCCAGGACAGACTAAACCATGAGGAATACCTACAAATGCCAGAAGAAGTGGCTCCTTCTTCAAATGCATAGCCAACAAGGCAAAGATACAAGGAATACAAAGGCTCAGGGAAGTATGATACCAACAATAACAGACTCTAAAGAAACAGAGGTTTATGAAATGAGTACCAAAGAACTCAGAATAAGCCTCTTAAAAAAGTCTAGAGAACTTTAAGAAAATATTGATGAAAATTAAATGAGTTAGAAATTATACACAAGATGATAGGTTCAGAAAATGGAAACATTTTTTAAAAAATAGAAATCCTAGATATAAATAATACTGAAATGAAAAATTCAATAAAAGCTTGAATATCAGACTTTATCAAACAGAAGAAAGAATCTGTGAGCTCAAAGATGGTAAATCTGATATTTTCCAGTCAGAGAAGAAAAAGTTAAAAGGATGAAAGGGCTAGAGGTGTACCTCAGTGATAGGGTGCTTACATAGTATATGTCAGGTGTGAGACTCTGGGTTCAATTGCCAGTACAAGGAGGAAAGAAAGAAATGACAAGGGGGCAAGAAAAGGATGGAGGGAGGGACGGAAAGGAAAGGAAGGAAGGAAGGAAGAGGAGATTTTACAAGTAAGATTTGCAGAATTAGAGATAATGAAGGGTTCAGAAAAAATATTAAAGAAAATAATAGCTCTTGTGGTTTGGTTATAAGATGTCTCCTAAGGCTCCTGTGTTGAAGGCTTGGTCCCCAGTAGTAGCACATTGAGAGATTAGATCATTAAGGTGCTAATCTCATCAATGGATTAAGCCATTTGAGTTAACAGCTGAATGGTATTAGTAGTAAAGTCACTGGAGGAAGCAGGTCATGAGGCAGTCCCTCGATAGAAGGGTGGTGTCTTGTACCTGCCCCACCCCTTGCTCTTGTTGGCCCTGAATTAGCCACTTTTGTTTTATCATATGCTCCTGCCATGATGTTCTACCTTACCACAAACCCAGAAACAATGGAGCTAAGTGACCATGAACTAAATTTCTAAACCATGAGCCAAAGTAAACCTTTCCTATTTTAGTTGGTTTTCTCAGGTGTTTTGCCAAAACAATGAAAAACTTAATAACCCATGGCTGGAAACTTTCCCAAATCTAGGGAAAGATGTCAACCATATAAGCACAAATTCAGATATCTGTAAATTATTTCAACACATGAAAAACTCACAAGATAAACAGGCATAATCAAACTATCAAAACTCAAACAAAATTCTGAAAGTAAAAGACATAAAATATATAACACATACAAGTAAATCTCATATGGCTATCAGCTGAAATGATATTTTCAAGGTCCAAAGGAAAAAATGACCAACCAGGAATACTTTACCTGGAAAAGCTGTCCTTTGGAAATGAGGGAGAAGAAGATTGTCCAAAAAACAAAAAGAAGGCAAGTTCATTACCACTAAGGCCTGCCTTACAGGAAATGCTAAAGGAAGTCCTTTATGATGAAACAACGGCTGTTAATATATATGAACATAAGAAAGTAAAAAGTTCATTGGTATAAGTAATATATATTCATATTCAGTAAGAAAAATTTCAAAGAATATATCTACAGAAAGTCATCAAACCACAAAGGAAAAGAGGAAGAAAGGAACAAAGGATGTACAAAACAAAACTATTAGGAA